GGGAGGAGAGAGAGAAAGAGAGAGAGAGGAGAGAGAGGAGAGAGAGAGAGGAGAGAGAGAGAGAGGAGAGAGAGAGAGAGAGAGAGAGAGAGAGAGAAGAGAGAGAGAGAGAGAGAGAGAGAGAGAAAGAGAGAGGGGGGAGAGAGGAGGAAGGACAGGGAAGATGGAGGGAGAGGACAGAGAAAGGGACAGCTGTTATTAATTAACTTACCCGTCGTATGAAGCAGCTGTCGGTGCCGGCCGAGAATATCTCCGGGCACACGGGCACGTTCAGTTTGGTCAGTGCCGCCGTGAAGGCCGCCCACCACGGGTGACCGGGGCTGATGGGGCTCAGGTCGGGGTTGTCCTCCTTCTCCGTTAGCTCGTAAGTGACTCCCTCTCCGGCCTGTTTACACCAGCCGCGCACCAGAACCTCGAACTCATCCGGCGCCGTCTTCTGGGAAACGCGGCAGTCGAAACAGGCGTGGAACTTGTCCGGAACAACGTTCTGCTGAACTCCGCCCTAGATGAAAAAAAAAAACAATCAACTTGCTGAGCATGCTGATTGTAAGGTTCAAGCACGCTGCGTGATAGCCTCGTAATAAAATATACAGAAAGGAACTGGAGCTGCACTGATGGGCCAGGAACTGCACATGAGTACCGGCAACAGCGACTGTAACAAGAACCACTGTTTGAAATGACATTATGACGTTTCGGTATCGTAGGAAGCGCAGACGGCAGTTAGCTGACAATAATCACCCATATTTATCACGACACGTCGAAGCAATATCTCTCCCACACCTTGGGTCACTCACACCAAGCACCCTCATACACAAACGCACACTGCCGTGCAAAGGCAACAACCGATTACGTTCGGGTGGCCTCTTGCCTGACGTAATGACTCTGACCTAACGAATCGTTTTTGTCTTTGGACAGCAGCAATGAGCACACCACCCCTCGCCTTGTGCCCACTCACACTGATGATGGTCAGGTTGACAGTGGTGACGTCCCCCAGCTTCCAGTCGGGGTGGGCGGCCAGCAGACGCTCCTGCTCGCCGCGGTACGTCAGAAACAGGTCGAGCACGCGGCGCAGCTTCTCACCAGCCGTGTTTGGAAGGAACTGGGAGCCGTGGCCCGTGTGGCCCAGACAGGTCACCTCCACCTCTGCCGGAGGGACGGGAGGGAGGTTAAAGAGAGAGAGGGATGGGAAGGTCAGAGGGAGAGACAGGAGGTCAGATAGGGAGGCAGAGATCAGCGGGAGGTCAGAGGGAGGTGTGGGGAGGTCACAGACGTTCACATGGCAAAAGAGAAACGTGCGGGAACATACAAGACGCATGACGCATGATGAAAGAGCTGCACAAAAAAGAATATATTTCTTTTTTTCCAACGATAACAAGTCTTGGTCGTAACTTTCAATTTGTGTCGTTAATATTTTCAGGTCCCATCATAGAAATTGAGTCCTTTACGCACCTCCTCATACCAACCCGGATACCCCCGGAGTGGCGCACTCACTCCAGGAATGTCGCTCGCCGTAGAAGACGGTCATCTGTTCTCCGGGGTTGGCCATTCCCTCATCCAGGGCGCAGGCCACGTTCAGGCGGGTCCACTCGTCCGTGGCCACAAACTCCTTCATACCGGTCACACCGCCTATCTCCTCATCTGAAGGCGGGGTCGTGGAAACGGGCGGAGGTCAGAAATGAGATGGGGAGAGGGTCAAAAGTCAGAAATGGTGTCGAATGGGAAAAATCAGCATACTGCGAGAGTGAGGGTTAATGAATATTACGGGGAGTCTCAGGGTCAGAAATAGTGCGGGAAGGATTGAATGTAAAAAGTGCAGGTGAGGATTAATGATTGTGGATTACCAGCCGAGATAGCTGACTCTATGTCAAAAATATGGTAAATCCGAATACAGCACGATCTTTACGACCGTTTTAGGACCAACCAACACTCACTTCGTCGTTGCCCGCCTATCAGCCGCGCTCACCGGGCACCATGGTGAGGTGGACGGTGCGCCGTGGCTGGAACCCGCGAGCCTTCAGCACCCGGATCGCTTCCAGGTACTGCATGGTCACACTCTTCATATCCTGGGTGCCGCGGGCGTAAATGTCGCCCTTGTCATCCTTGAAGGCGCTGAATGGATCGTAGTCCCAGTATTCCTGGGGAGGGGAGTAGAGACGGTTAGTTCTAGTACGGGAGAGCAGAAGGATGGGGGGGGGGGGGAGCGTAATACATGATGAATGAGACGGTCGTCCCCGTGGTGTATTTATCTAGGCATATTTATCGATCAAGCTGCAGCCGGGGTCATTTGGGCCAAAGGACGGGCAATCCTACCGAATCACACGGAGAGACAGTGGAACAGAAGGTGGGTCCGCGCACTGAGCGGGAGACGATATCGAAGTAACGACCTGACTAAGAAGAGACGGAGGCGAGCTGAAGGTTGTAGCGTATACACCAGCGGCATTGATTCGCAAGTACGGTCACTTTAATGATACACGAGTAAGTGGTATCTAGTGCGGTCGTGAGTGTTCATAAGCCAAGTGCGGAACTATCCGATTCCGATAGGTTACACACAGCCGACACTGTACTGTACTCGTATACTCAGAAACAATGACGTGACAGATTCGTAATAAACAGTACCATGTCAAATCATATCATTGTTTCCAATGCGGCATTGATTGATATTACTATCGATAAATGATAATTCATAAGCATCAATTGATGTAAGGGCGCACAACCCAGCAATAAAACTCAAATGTTTGCCAATGACCTGCCAACGACTCCCGAGATGATTCTCCTCTCGTCGCCCATCCGATAGCTCGAAACCCAGACCAAACTTCACACATCCGTCATTACTGACAGACACCATCAATCGTCTGCAGCGCTCAGCAGAACAGACGGATAAACAAGCAGAGACGGCCTTCGCTTGCAGTCCCACATTCTCCGAGATGCACTGTCTGTGAGCCCAAGAACCGAACACAACTCACAGCGAACACAATCACAATTGTAACTAATTAATGATATTGAACTTTTTATGTTTTATTAAATTGTTGGTTTCGAATAGCTACGCACTTCGAACGATGTTCGAGATGAATCTATGCTAAGATCATATACACAAGTAAAAACCAGCCAAAAGAAACTCCTTCTAATTCTATACTACATAGTTCAGCGCCCTGCCTCTATTCCTCGCCCGTCCACCCCCCCCCCCCCCCAACAGATCCCCCATCCGTCCTCACCTCAAATACGGGCACCACGTCGATATGCGAGTTGAGCAGCAGCGTGGGCAGCGTGGGCTCGGAGCCCGGCCAGCTCATCACCACCACCGGCCGGCCAATGAGGGGTTCCACCACGCGACACTCGAGACCGATCTCCTCCGCCTGGCCGCGCAGAAAGTGCACCGCACCCTCTGCAAGCAAATACGTGAGAATGAGGAATCATGGACACATTGGAACAATATGAGCTCTCTGATTTGATGTGATCGAATGGGATGCGTGGTTAGAAAATGTGGGCGCCAATTACTATAATTTTTTAATCTAAGGGCAGTGAAAACCCTTCTATTCCATAAAGATTTGAAGCAAATGTATAATATTCCTACGGTTTAGTTCCAACTATATTAGCATTATTACACTTAGAAGTCTCTATTGTTTCAGTAGAATGAGAATGCTTTTACCTATCAGACTGAATAAGCAGCAAGGCTGGCAGCAAAAAAAAAACTTCTGATTTCTAAGGAACCGAAGGCCAGAGGACTGCTCCAGGACATGAAGCGAGGCCGTGCCATCGGGAAATTGAAATGACACCAGACAGAAGGATCTATTTAAAGGCAATCAGGCCCGTGTATCCACAGCCAGGGGTGCTGGATGGCACAGCCTTCATCCCCACAGCCGAACAAACACTCCCCAGTTACAGTCATCTCCTGGGTAGGAGCCGGCCGAGGAAAAGGCTACCAGGGGTCAGCTTTGGTCCAATGACCGACCTTTCACATACTGACCATAGTCTGGGTGTGGTTGGACTGTTTTAATCCTTAGGTATTCTTGAAACCTTTCAGTGGGTCCTGTGGCATCTCCCATGATGACCTGAAATGAAAAAGAGTCAAAACTCTTTTTGCTACACCGTAAATCTGCTTTTCTTCATTTAACACTCTCCTTCCTGATGAGGTGATAATTTGTGAATATTTGAATGTGAATATTGCATTTGTCATTGTAATAACATTCGTTGTGTACAACTTTTTCAATCTTACATTCCATTATCTTAGGTATATCTTTTCATCCTGGTGTTTTACCAAAGCATTTAAAAACAGCAAATTTTGGTTTCAAAGCAGGGCCCTGATGGCTGATCGGCGGCCGGCTAGTACTCTTGCCGGCGCTCACATACGTGCTGGTTGCCCTGGCAACGGGCTATTGACCAATGAGAAGCGAGGAAAGTGCAACGTCACTGCGATTTTTCATATACCTGTGCCCCCATGTAGCGCGCTTCTCATTGGTCAATAGCCCGTTGCCGGGGCAACGTGCACGTATGCATGCGCGGGCTAGCGCGCTAGCCGGCCGCCGAGGCGCCGAACAGCGCTCAGGCAAAATCATGACATTTTGCCAATCCAAATGTTGCATGAGCTTAGACACTACTTAGACAGTACTTAGCAGGGCACCCAGGTCCCCAGGGGTGGGCATTAGGGGGGGGGGGAGCAAGGCCGTATGGGGGAGGTGGCCTGAGGGTGCGGCATAGGGCTAATGTTAAAAATGCCCAAATCAAAGGGGGGCACGAACTACGAAGCCCCGGTGCTGCCTCCCCGTTCCGCCGCCTATGCACACGGAATACTCAAGCGCCTTCACTCCCCTTGACTCAAACCAAGATTCTTGGACTCAAACCACAGTGTATATAAATCAAAATAACTCAAACCAACTCAAACCAAGGGACGACGGTGAAAACAGGGCGCCTGGGGCGATTTGATCAAGGTTTGTTAAATTTACACGTGACGTTTGGGATATAGTAGGCCCATGGAGCGGGAGAAGTTCCAAATATCACGTGACTAATATGCCCTCCGGCGCCCTGTTTTCACCGGCGTCCAAACCAAGAAGGCCGTAACTCTCTCAAACAGTGTCCTGCAATTTCTTTCGCTGCTTTTAGTCAAGGTATAAGGAAAACTCTGTCCCGTTGCGTCATTAATTTTGTAGCAAACTAGCCAGTCCCAAAACCAGCCTTTTGTTTTACAATATGAATTTCAGCATAAAAGTTTGAATTTTCAGCAAATATATAATTTTAAAACTGAAAATTATCCTTTTCGTCCAATTAGCGTTTATTTAGCATTAATATCTCATGCTAACATTTTGTGATTCGTTGTGACGGTGACGTCATCCAATACGTTTATCTTCCAAAAGTTATGAAAACAAATGCGTGCTTGTCTCAGCTGAGTCAGTTCAATAACGAACACGACTACTAAATACAAGACAACTGCATGCAATTGTTAGCATTGCATGCAAGGATTGCATGTTTCTGCCCCCAACTTCGGCCTATCCGTGAGAATCTTGGTTCGGCCAGCCATCGTACTCTTATATGTTGCCGTGTCCCATAACAAACTCTTTGTTACTATGCGATTCGACCCCTGCTCAGCTGTAGTTTGATAAAAATTGCTTTCAAGGGTCTTCATTTGCCATATGAATGCGCCAGTGCTACCAACCTACCCCCAATCATCGTCGCTCAAAATACTTGGTTCGGCATCATTCAGCAGTTGTATCGGTATGGAGGCATGTTTGTTAGCATTTTATTACTCAGAGAGCTTTTCACACCTACCGAGACCCTGCCTCCTGCCTATACAGATATGATGCCACCCGCCAGTCGCCAAAGCCCAAACATACCATGCAAACGACTGACGACACCTGGCCTGGGCCTTCATTTTGGGCATCATATTCATATCAATATCATAAAGTTTCACGGCACAACTGTCAAACGCAAATAAGAATTAAGACTACACCTTGGCTCTATTGCACAAACGGAATGACTTTTTCATTCACTAAGCAAGATCTCGCGACAAAATATACTTAGAATTTAGATGCTTCAAAGTAGGTACATGAGCTTATTAACTTCCCGTTTCCGATTCAAACGATGCCAACGCACCTCTGAAAATGCTGCCTGCTGTAATTCCTTTTCCCATTGTAAAACATTCTAAGAAGCGCTGACAGCTTTCCGCGTAATCACCTCTGATTTTTACATCAACGACATCACGGTCGCCTACAATGGTCCCAGTTCCGCCTCCCATCCTATCCCGCCGCGCGAGGACCTCGGTAGCCCCTCGTCGCCCGCAGTGACAGCAGTTTCACACGCCGCTATCAGCCCGCCTGTTTGGGCACGATCAGGCCCCGCATCATATCGAAGCTGTTTCCGTCGGGGGACACGGCCAGCTCGGCTCCGTCGGCAGCGGCGCGTACCAGCAGGAACCCGTGCTGATCCAGGCCGCACACCTCGGCGGGCACAGACTCGCCATCGCGCTGCACCGTCACCGGCTGTCGCTCGTGCAGCCACCGGCTCCTGTACCGCTCGGCCAGCGCGGCTGTGTCCAGCGTCAGCAGCTCCTCCAGTCGGCTCAGCAGGCGCGCCAGCAGTCGCTCTCGGGCCAGCGGCGCCGCCAGCAGCCGGTTCAGACACACAGTCGGCGCGGCGTTATCGAGATTCACCCCGAGACCGAGCCGACACTCGGCGCTGCGACCCATGACGTCTGTTTCCACCAGCACACCGCCCACCTTAGTCCGGCCCTCCCAGTACAGATCGTTGGGCCATTTCAGGCCGAGTCGCGGGTCTCCCACCGCCTCCGCCACGGCCAGCGCGGCGGCGTGCTGCAGCCAGCTGAGCCGCCCGCCCAGCGGCGAGTCTAGGGTCACCAGCAGTCGCACAGACAGCATACAGCAGCCGGCCGGGCTGAGCCAGGTGTTACCGGCGCGGCCACGGCCCCGTGTCTGTCGGTCACACACCACGGCGGCGCCGTGCGGCAGCCGCGCGTCCCGCAGCACGTCCATAGTGGATGTGACGGCCGGCAGGAACACCAGACACCGGCCCAGCACGGCCGTCTCCAGCTCCGACTCAAACAGACGGTGGTTGAACCGGGAGGTCGGCGGCGCGCCCACCAGCAGGGGTAGACGCTCGGCAGAGGCCGCTCCCGTCTCCGCTGCGGACACCACACATAGCTCAGGGCCGCAGCGCGACCGCCGCGGCTCCGTCAGCCTCGCTGCCACTGCCGCGTCCGCCATCAGATAACCAAGCTCATACTGCACCTCTGTCTGTTCGGGTTCAGCACAGCGCACACCCAGCTCAGAGCCCAGCAGAGCGCGCAGCAGCCGCAGCTGTGCCGGCGCTGTGACGTCCCAGTCCAGCTGAGTGAGTAGCACCGCGCCGCCGCCGCCGGTAGGACAGCAGCGCAGCACGGGCGGGGGCATCTCCGGACCATCGTCCTCCCGTCGCACGGAGACTGGCGTGGTGACTTCACACGCTCCCTCCGCGGCGATCCTAGCGGAGAGTGGTCTGGCGGTAACGCTGTAGCGACATGTGACGTCTCTCTCCTGGGCGTATGACAGCACCACGGATGGTTCCGCCGGCGGCCGGGGCTCACCAGACAGACATCCCAGTGTAAGACTCGAACTGACCGAGAGCACCGCTCCGCCGCCACGCCAGAACCGCTCAGCATCAGCGGACACGGCAGCGCTGAGCTGACCGGCCACCACCAGTAGCGCAGCGCTCTCCAACCAGACGGGTGGCGCCGCCACGGGCAGGTCATGAAACGTGTAGTACTCGGAACTGACGACAGATGTCACCAGCTGCCGCAGCCGTGCCTGTCCGTCACCGCCGGCACCGTGGTGAATGACCACGTTTGGAGGCTTGGTGACGGTAGATTCTGTCGCTGCTTGCGATTCTGCCGATGCCATCTCGCGCGATGTAAGGCTCAAAGACGGCATGAGCAGATTCTCCAAACTTCTCAGCTGTCGGATGATATTTGTTCTTGAAACGGCATACATTAGAAGCGAGAGTTGCTCGATTCTTGCCAGGAGCGAAATACTGAGGGGTCATCTAGTCATCATTGCTCCCCGAAAGTTGAATCGTGCCGATGTCTGTAACCGAAACAAAAAAGCACATCAAGATAATTCCTTGTGTGCGAACAAAAACAAAACAATGTGCTTCAAATAAAAATACGGTAAAATTGCGCAGAACAAAAAGTACAGCGAGAATTCCGATCGGCGCGATCTTCAGCCACGAAGTAACATCTCGAGGGCAAGAAACCGTTCGGCTTCACATTTCTTGTCATGAAGGGCTACCATATGACATTGCTGCGATCACGAGAACCAGAGGGGCCATCAACTTCAGCAGGGTTGTGTGCGAGACGAGGACGAGGGACAAACAGCTTCAGATGCCGCCGAGCGAGGGACCAGGGTGCATCAACGACAAGCAATACACGACACATTTGCTGAAACCGGCAGTTCAGATTGTTATAGAGCCCCGAGTCCCGGCAGAAGAGGAAGATGACACACCCGTTCCTCGTTGCATAAACAATAGCGGTAAGAGCGAGTTTTCATATTTGTATTTCGCTTCATTTATTAGACCTTTAAATTCAAGTATAACCATATCCTCGCGGCAAGAATGCATCCTTCTAAAACATTCAGCACACAAACTTACACGCCTAAATAGGCCAATGCTTTATCACAGGACTGACGAGATCCATTGGCGAGGTGCAAACACTTCACGGCAAGTACAAATGGTGCTATAAAAAAATAATATTGGAATGCACGGCATCACAGTCTATTAATACCTTTGTTATTTTCACTTTAATATACCTACGTCTCATTGCACGAATGGCGACTTGTGCAAAAATGCTCGCTTATAGCTCAGCTGCACTTCTGACTCCAAGCAACTGGCACATTGACCAAAAGGCACTTAGTTGAAGTTGAGGTGGAGCTACAACCAGCTCCATATCATTTAGATTCATTAGTTCAGATGCCTATCACATTCAGATGATAAACCCGCCACTCCCCACATCAGCAAACCGTGAGCAAATATGGTGAAAACAATCGTATCTCTAAACAAGGTCTGGCTGGATACTTAGAAAGGCGTGATTACTGTAAAGGCAACACTGTAAGTAAGGCAGACTTTGATTCGTACCTGCGCTGAGCACGAATTGCTAAATATCACCAGATGAGCACACGAAAATGGCAAGTCTAGCTTCACCATCCGAGCACCGCTGTGAGACTAAAAGCAGTCACTGTGGGAGTACCAGCAGTGAGAGTGAACAGCAGCTCTCACTGTGAGAGCAGCAGCGGTCACTGCTAGAGCAGCAGCGGTCACTGTGAGAGCAGCAGCAGACCGCCGTCGCCCAGCCGCGGCTCCCCTGCGCCGGGCAGCTCCAGGCGGACCGGCTGGCGCGGGCTGGTCTCGCTGACAGCGTGCAGCGAGCCGTCGGCGCAGAGCACCAGCACCGCCGACTCGGTCCCCGACACGGCCGTGACGGCGGCCGTCAGCGGCGAGCGGGCCGGCGCCGCGCCCGGCTGGCCGCCCAGCCACAGCAGCGCTCCTCCGGTCGTCAGCAGTGCTGTCCGGGAGGCGCACGCCACCGCGTCAGAGACGGGCTCCGGCGCTGGCAGCTGCACGGCGCGCAGTCGCCGCTCGCCGGGCCGGCCGCCCGGCTCGCCGGAGCCCAGCCGACCGGCCGCGTTCAGCCCGCAGCCGAACACCCGTCCGTCGGCGGTCACCACCAGAGAGCAGCCGGCGGCAGCGCGTACACGAGACGCCACCGCGTCCGACGGCAGCGGCAGCGGCTGAGGTGTGGTTGCCGGCCGCCGTGCGCCGCTGCCCAGCTGACCGTCCGCGTTCCCGCCCCAGGCGAACACGGCTCCGGCGGCGGTCTGCCGTGCAAAGGAAGAACCACGTATGTCATTTTTTGGTCAAAAATGTTTTTTTATACCGATCGATAGCCCAAGAAACGGAGCATTTGGTTATGCGAATTATATTCACAAAAAGTTTTTTGAAAATACTTATATTTCCAAAAAACATTTTCCAAAAAACGTATGTCATATCCAAGGGTAGACAGCCAAGGCAAAAACACGTATGTTCGGACTTATCGTGTCCAAAGCACGTATGTCAAAGCTTTCTTGTGTAAATGATTTTTTATTTCTTACCAATGAAAACATACGTGGTTTTGCCAGATATCTCCTCATCATGGGTATCTAAAGATGTTAACGCTCGCGTGGTCAAAACACGTATGTACGGACATTCTTGCTTAAATTGCATTTTTCAAGCACATAAATGAGAACATACGTGGATTTGCCTACTATCTCCGGTAAGCCGACGACAGCGGCACCGACCCCACCGACGTACTGACGCAACCAGGGGACGCAGCAACGGCCATACCGACGGCACCAGGGGATGTGGAGTCGGCCCTACCGACGGCACCCGGGGACGAGGAGTCGGCCCTAACTACAGCAGCGGGGACGCGTCACCGGTCCTACATACAGCACCGGGGGGACGCGGCACCGGTCACACCGGCCCTGCCGGGGGACGCGGCACCGGTCACACAGGCCCTGCCGGGGGACACGGCACCGGCCTGAACGACGACACGGGGAACGGCCGTACCAACGGCACCGGGGGACGCAGTACCGGTTCTACCGACAGCAGTTGGGAACGCAGCATCGGTCCTACCGACGACACCGCGGGACGCAGCACCAGTTACACTGGTCTTAGGGGAGGACACGGCATCGGTGCTTCCGGAGGACGCGACACTATATAGTGCTAACTACAAAAGCGGGGACACGGCACCGGCCCTACCGACGACACAGGGGAACGCGGCACCGGCACCGTCACACCGGCCCTGATGGAGGACACGGCCAACGACGAGTCAACGACCATGCCGACTGCACCGGGAACGTGGCGCAGGTCCTACCGACAGCACCGGGGGACGTGGCACTGACGCCGTCACACCGGCCCTAAAGGAGGACACGGCACCGTCACTCCGGCCCTGCCCGGGGACACGGCACCGGCCACACCGGCCCTAACTAACGGAGACACGGCACCGGCCACACCGGCCCTAACGGGGGACACGGCCACACCGGCCCTAAGGCCCGCCCCACACGAGTGCGATTTTGATGCGGTACGGTTGCGGTGCGGCTGCCGCACGTCAGGCATGCGGCTATCGTGCGGCATCTTGCAGCGCTGCGCGTCATCCATGCGGCGAAGAACGCCATCCATAACGGAGGGCACGGCACCGACCACACTGGCCCTACCGGGGGACGTGTCAACGACCCTACCGACGGCGCCGGGGGACGCGGCACTCGTCACACGGGCCCTATGTAGATGTGGACACGTCACCGGCCCCACCAGAGGACGCGGCACCGGTCCTACCGACAGCACCGGGGGGACGCGGCACCGGTCACACCGGCCCTGCCGGGGGACGCGGCACCGGTCACACCGGCCCTGCCGGGGGACACGGCACCGGCCTGACCGACGGCACGGGGAACGGCCGTACCAACGGCACCGGGGGACGCGGCACCGGTCCTACCGACAGCACCGGGGGGACGCGGCACCGGTCACACCGGCCCTGCCGGGGGGACGCGGCACCGGTCTTAACGACAACACTGGGGGACGCCGCACCGGCCGCACAGTCCTAACGAAGGACGCAACACCAGCCCTGCCGATGCAGCCCGAGGACGTGACACCGGTACTAACGAAGACACCGGGGACGCGGCGCCAGTCCTACCGGGGGACGCGGCACTGGCCACAGTCACACCGGCCCTACCGGGGGGACGCGGCACTGGCCACACCGGCTCTACCGGGGGACGCAGCAACGGCCCTAATGGAGGACACTGCATCGGCCCTACCGACTGCACCGGGGGACGTAGCGCAGGTCCTACCGACAGCACCGGAGGACGTGGCACCGGCACCGTCACACCGGCCCTAAAGGAGGACACGGCACCGTTACTCCGGCCCTGCCCGGGGACACGGCACCGGCCACACCGGCCCTAACGGAGGACACGGCACCGGCGCTACAGGAGGACGCGGCACTGGTGCTACCTACAAAAGCGGGTGACACGGCACCGGCACTACAGACGACACCGGGGGACAGCGCGGGTCCTACCAGAGGATGCGTACAGTGGAACGTGGCACCTGCCACACCGACCCAGTATTCTTCCACCGGCCCTGGGGGGGGGGGGGGGGAGGGACGCGGCACCGACCCTACCGACGCAACCGGGGACGTGCCACCGCAGGGCGCTGCACCTGCCCTCCCGACGTGACCGGGGGCGCGGCAACGGCCCTTCCGGGGGATCCGGCACGGGGGGGGGGCAGTACTGGCCCCACCGACGGCACGGGAAGTTATAAGAATCTTCCCATGGACTAATCTGTGTAGTTTCGTACAAATTTTCGCTTATATAAACAGCAACGTTAAAACACCCAGCCCCGGATATAAATGCTAGCGATACACACGCTTTGGGTGTGGCGAAATTTGCCTAGCAGGAATCACAAAGCCACTCTCACGGCCACAATCCTCATTGGTACGCTGGCTTTTATGTTGGAAATGAACGTATGTTGCGGTGTCAAAACAATCGGTGTTGGCAAAAACACGTATGTCATCCACTGCTAGTCACATACGTTGTTTTGGCAATTACGACTGTAGTTTGAGCGCCACATACGTGGTTTAGCCACACGGAAAATGACATACGTGTTTTTTCCTTTGCAAAGTTTAATTTGATAGATAAAATTTGATGGTGGCAAAACAACGCCCTAGAGTTTTTAGGGCAGTATTTATAAATATATATTTACAACAAGGCTCATCGGAATCGCAAGGCGGAGAGGAATTCAATGATATCTTTCTTTTGTCTGTGCGAGCTTTTACACGGTTGCTACAATGAAAAACGCATTTTCGGCTCTCCTGAACATTTTTGTTTTTCAAAAAACGGTAACATACGTGGTTTTTCCTTTGCACGGCAGCGGTGAGCACCAGGGTGTGGTCCGCGCCGCAGCTCACCTGTGCGACCTCGTGTCCCAGCAGCGACTGCACGATCCGCGGCGCTGACAGCGTACCGGCCGCCGGCGCCGCCTCGGCCGTCAGAACAATGCCGCGCTGCGTCAGGAGCGCCACCGTCGCGCCGCCGCTCGCCGCCTGCACGAACGACACGCCGCCGGGCCGCTCCACGGTCAGCGGCGGCCCGGCGTCGGCGAGCCACCAGACGGCCGCCTGTCCACCGCTGGTGACACAGACCGCCGTCACGGAGCCGCGAGCTGCCGCCGCCAGACGACGGCCGACGCCCGGCGGCGGCGCCGGCAGCTGGCGCAGCGTCAGCTCCGCGGTCAGCACCCACAGCGTGTCATCCTGCGGCGGCGGCGGCGGCAGGGCCGGAGAGGAGGGTCGGCGCGCCGCCCAGACCGCGCCCAGCGGCCCGGCCCGTCCGCCGGCCAGCGTCTGAGACACGGACATGGAGAGCGGCCGCGTGCTGGCGTGCCACGGAATCATGCCGATGTCAGAGAACAGGCGGCACGCGAACGGCGCCACGGCCGGGTGGGCGATGGCCTGTGTCACCGACGGCCGCCGGGTCTGGTCCAGACTGAGCAGCGCCGTCACCAGCTGACGCAGGCCGGCCGACAGCTGGGCCGGCAGCGGCGCGTAGCTGCCGCGCAGAATCTTCAGCACGAGCGCAGCTAGCGTAGCCGCCTCGAACGTGCGCTTCAGCGTGGCCATCTCGTATAGCAGACAGCCGAGCGCCCAGACATCCGACTTGCGGTTGTAGGGCCGTCCCTCGCACAGCTCCGGCGACAGGTAGCACGGCGTGCCCACCACAGAGCTGGCCGACGTCTTGGTCGCCAGGATCTTGGAGATGCCGAAGTCGCCGATTTTGATCACCTGCCGCTCACGGTCCAGCAGGATGTTCTCCGACTTGAGATCCCGATGGAGGATGTTGAGACTGTGAATGTGCTGTACGGCGATCAGCATCTGGCTGAAGAAGTGCATCACCTGCTCCTCCTCCATGGTCTGCTGCTGCAGGCTGAGCAGGTAGTCACGCAGCGTTCCGCCGGGGGCGTACTCCATCACAATCACCAGTGACTGCTCCTGCACGTGGCTGGACACGTACTCGATGATGTTGGGGTGGCTCAGCAGGCGCAGCACCTGCACCTCGTTCAGTGCCTGCTTGGTGTCCTCCTCTGGCATCGGGATCGACTTGAGCACCACCAGTCGGCGCGTCTGGCGACACCGACCCAGATGGACGACGCCGAACGCGCCGCGCCCCAGCGGCCGCAGCCGGTCGTACTGGTCCATGGCACTGCCGCCGCTTCTCCCGTACGCCCGTCAAGCTCACTAGGGCACAGTGGGAACAGACGAGCTGACGGTCCAGTCCAGAAAACATCTGACACTGCCATACTGGGTAGGTTGTGGCGACTGGCCCGCACCAGACACCATCCTTGATTTGTATACTCTGACTGGATCTGTGACTAATGTCACAGATCACAGATGTTCTACCCATGACATCCATTGATATTATCACCTTAACCTTCCAGGCGGGTTTAGTTTTTTCGATATACCTCGAGAACCGCTGCGCCGATCGTCACCAAACTTTCAGTACCCTCCCGGGAGTAGCTAGCGCACATGGTGACCAAAAAAAATCCAAAGGCTAATGATAGGTTGGCCGCTAATAACGTCAGAGTGACGTAATTTTTGCCATTTTCGACCCAAAAAAAGGTTTCGCGGGAAGAGCTGTCAGGCCTACAGCTTTAGAGATACAGAAAAATGTTCTAGACATAAAAGGTGTGGAATCAAGAGGGCTATAAAACTGCTATTTCGGCTTTTCGAATTTTTTGGATTCTGACCCCCAAAAATAAAAAAATAGATTTTTCGAAAATAATAACCAAAAAATCCAAAAAGTTTTTTGAATTTCGAAAAAACGGAATATATGTGATAGTCCCTACCACCTTCTATCTACATACCAAATTTGAGATCAATACCTCTTTTTTTAGCCAAGTTATAGCGAAAAACTGCTCAAAATTGATGACGTCAAATTTTCAAACTCAATTTTTAGCAATTCTAGACCTCGTAGCGCAAAACAAAGACCACCATTAGACCCCCCGCGACGAGCTGCATCGAATCGATACCCATTTTATGCAAAAATATCAACTTTGAAAATTGAAATTCGACCTTTTTTGACCTGACCTTGACCTGACCTCCACCAGAAAGTGACCTAAACCGTACCTGATGGTCTTATAACCAATACCATTGAGTTGGAAATGAAAAACTAGCCATAAAACATGCATCGCACAACCTTAGTAAAGTTGGGTTCATGTGGTGACCCTTGGTGACCTTTGGTGACCTGACCTGTGACCTGACCTAGTATGACTAGTGACCTCTAATAGCAACATATATACTAGACAACTGACGCCTTATCGCTGATTTTCGACAAAATGCGTTTTACTCGGTGTTATAGCGCTTTCCCTAGAAGCCCCGTGAACGGTGAAACATTTTATCTTTGACCTGACCTGTGACGTCATCGGTGACCCCGAGGTCAATGAAATTTGGATTCCTTCGACAAATTTGATAGGGCTATCGAACGCCGTTTGAATTTCCCGGATCCGTCCAGTAGTTTCGGAGATACGAGGGGGGGGCAAAAAAATGCCCCCCCCCCCCACCGCGCGGAAGGTGGCTGGGAGGCCCACCGCCTGCCGGGAGGCCCACCACTTTTATGGCATGCATTTTTGTTTGAGGCAAAGCAGTCACATTGCAGTGTAATAAGCTACCTATATGCATTATGCCATAATGTGCAGATGTGCTTTAAAGGGACACTCCCTAGTTTTGAGTTGAGATAGCCAAATTGGTGGCCATGGCCTGCAAATACCGGTTTGGGCACTCACAACATCGACAAATGCTTTAATTCGGAGATATGGAATTTCAAACTTGCAGTTTTCGGATTCTAAGGGGCTAGTGCATTGGTATGCCCCCTTAGAATTTGTGACGTCAGCGGAGATCTAACGATTTTTAAATATTTTACTAAAACGTTTGGTAGCACGTGATGGTATATGCTGCTTTGCGCGCAACAAATGCCGCACTTTCAAATAAAGTCGCTAGGAACAGCGGAGATCCCAAAAAGTAAACAAAAGTAAAAGTCTAATATCTTGAAAACCGGTGAATATTTTTCTATGAAATTTGGTAGATATTCGTTTTCGCTCTTTCTGAACCGAGCGACATCACTTTCGTGCCAATTCATTAACTTTTTTGAAGGTGGGAGGGTCCCTTTAAAATACCTAAGATTCAAATCAGTGCTGACTTCAGTAAAAATTAGGCCCTCTACATGTTATTTTTTCTATAGTCAGAATATACTTTTCCATTGAAACTTTTATGAAAATGATGAAACAGAAGATTATTTCTAATGTAATGAACCCTTAAATGCACAATATTTCTGCCATGTTATATGTTAGATACACACACCAATGCAAGGATGCCACTTTGATGTTTGCAGCAGATACATATAAAGTGCTGAAAAAATCCAAAAACAACAACAGTGAAGTTTCCAGTTTCCTGAAATGATAACCTGTCGTCTGCCTGTCTATGACCTGTGGCTGATTTCATAAAAGGGTGTACAATGCAACTGATTCATAATCAGTTTTCCACCCACTATGTTGCATTTTGCTCCCAAAAAGTTTCATAAAACAATTGTGGATGTAACCATGTAATGCCATCAACTAGCATTTGAGTAGTGATGTCATAAAATACCTACCCAGTTCAAATGTAAACATACAATTGGTGTATAATACACCCTTATTCCTAAGAAAAGCGCCCAGTTTTGAATGGTGTAACTTCTAAGGGGATAAACTACACCTAGATGTAAAAGGTATTTACATATTTACTTTATGATTGATCACCAATTTACTTTTGGTGTGATCCCAAAGTAAGAAGCAAATCGCATGATATCCTTTGCATAGGCAGCGAAACAGGGGGGTGGGGGCACCGGGGCACCATGCCCCCTTTGATTTTGGCATTTTAACATTAGCCCTATGGGTATTACAAGGAAAGAATGGGACCAAAAGTCAGCAGTGCCCCCTTTATTGAAGGTGTTAGGCTGCCACTGATCCTTTGACCTCCTGATTTCATTTATCATAATCATTCATGACACAAACAAGTTTAAAAGCACCAATACAAAATGGAAAGAAACATCAAATTGATTTTAGCCAAGCAGTTACAGTGCCAAAGGCAATGCCTTAGGAGAGATTACAGGCAATGGTTATGGTAAGTCAGCTATTTTTAAGTTAAGTGGTTGTGTATCTGGCTTCAGGCCAAAGGCAAAGAAGTTAGATATTTACTGTTGTAAAATGCTTAAAGATCTGTGAAACTAGGTAGCCAGATTGAGATTACCATAAATTGTTACCATTACCGCATTTCACAAACTCTATTGTCATATTCTAAGCATCACTTTGCGCCTTGCGGTTGGGCAACTGGGACTAGGAGCTCCCTCGTTAGGATCGGTTTATTGGTTAGGATGGTCCATGGTCAAAGCATGCATTCTGCTAATCTAAAACAACACAAACACCAATTCCATTCAATGATTTTGAAAACTGGGAATGCAATAATAGACTTTCATGGTAAATGTCAAGATAAAGTCCTAAGAAATTTCATGGATGATTTTTCACAATCTTTCAATATTTGACATCCTGAATCCAAAAATCAGTTGGGGAAACTACGAGGAGCCAAACAAAAATTGGATTAGCCAATCAGCGGCTGCAGTGGGCGGGGCGATGACCATATATGGTCATTAAATCAGACAACTTCATCTTTTCAATGAATTTTAGCATTCAAATGAAAAAATAAGGCATAAGAATGTTTTTTAACCACACAAGGCCTACACTCACCCGGTACATAATTAACTGGCGGCTCTAAATCGCAGAGTTACAACGCAAGGTCAAACCGTGATTGGCAAATATGGCGGATTGAAACAGTCGCGCCAAAAAATGTAAGCTGTACTGTGGTTTGAAAATGCCATTATTTTTATTATTTTGTTTATGGTTTTTCTAATTGTACTTAAGTTATTATTTTAGAATTAAATATTTTTGTTTATTGTAATTAAATTAAATCTTTTAACAATTTTCTTTCATAAAACCAATCCATTTATTGAATTGGCCAGCTGATTGTGACACCCGGAACCTGCAGAAAAGCCGTTTTCCTATCGCCATTTTCGAGTCAATTCGCCAAATTTAATCAAATCAAACTAATTCCTGGTGAAAAATGGAAGCCTTTTCTCTCCAATTAGTGGACGCGATACCGCAAGTACCGGCTTGTTATACCGTTTTTCACCCTTAGTAGCGGGGGCTGCATTTATGCCCATATATGGTCATCAAAAGTCCATTTATTGACCAATCCATTTTTTGACATTCGCCTCGTAGTTTCCCCAACTGAAATGATGCTTACATGTCTCGCAAGTCGCAAATAAAAGGAAAAAACATAATCAAACCTGACCTAACCTTACCTACTTACCTATAGCCCTAGTTTCTGTGAAAATGCAGTTGAATGGATGAATGATGAAGAAGTTCAGTGCCTAATTAGTATTGAAACAAATATTTGATGCTATTCGTTAGGTACTTTTGCGAATAATTTACAAAAGTCTACAAAAGTCCCACGCCCAACCCCACCGGCGTTTTTCGCACATCGCCGCAATTGTCGGAATTCGTGCCGCAAGTCGTAAGTGGTTACGGAAATTGTCAGGGGAAATAATGACGACATAGGATCTGCTGAAAACAATGTGAATATACAAGTTTGAACATTTTCTAAGAAAAAAAATCCAATTTGAAAGCTCAGTTTAGCCAAAATCTTCACAGAGTTTACGTTCAGTGAAATTATTTACAATTTAAATGCAAAAAGAAGATACCTAGTTTTCCGTTACGATCGGATGCAGAGAATTTCTTCGATAATCATTGGATTTCTTGCCATTACGTCATTAGTACTATCTTATAAAGCTTGCACTACCATGCGTGCGATTCTGCGAGATTGCGGGATTGCGATTGCGAGCACGGTTGATTGCGAGTTGCGATTTGTGATCAACGTGGGTTTGCTTGTTTTTGCTTGTGATTTGTGATAGCGATCGTAGCGATTGCGACTTGCGCAAAGCTTGCAACCCTTGCAACAACTGCCGGTGTGCACCGGTGATTGCCCATTATACAGCGTAATTGCACTGGTTGGCGGTTGCTATATGCCACAAGCAATTGGGTGCAGATTTTAGTTCCAACTTCCAATAATTAATTTGATTTATTGAATTGGTTGGAAAGTGGCGTCCAAATGAAATATAAACCTTTTTGCACTCTCCCGCTCACCTCAAATGCAATTCCCCGCTCCCAATTTTACCAAGAACGCATTCGTGTGGATGATTCAGTTTGTTTTGCGTCCTACTTTTTGCCACACTTGTTAATGAATTATTGCGACTCTCATCCCCCTTTCGGAGAGGAATTTCTCCTCCGACACCCGAACCAAAATACAACTTTGGAATGCTGGATTTAAATGCCTTCTTTTAACCACAAGTTCCTTGTGTGAGGTAACTTGCTTTGTCATTTCCATTTTAGACGTTTAGGAGTGCTAAGGGAATGCTGTCTCAGGAGCTTAATAATCAACTTAGGTACATTTGGAAAACTGGTTAGGGGACACTTTAACTGAAGTGCTAATGAGAAATGTCGCACACTCCCGGCTGCTTGAAATTCAGGATTTAGAATGGATGTTTAAGAACCATATAATTTAACCTTACAAATCAGTGAAGGTTGGAAACAATTCACTTTTAAAGCCTGTCCCGTAGCTCAGTTGGTAGAGCATTGGACTCCCGGTAGTGAGAGCCCGGGTTCGAGATGCTCCGGCGCTCGATATTTGAGACTCATGACGGGGATGGTCTGTGGTTGGTGGGAGCAGCCGCAGCCAGTTTAAGTCAGTTGATGTCTGATGACTCAGTTGAGTGGGACAGGTCATGTCCGGCTTTGAAGGACTCGTTAAACTTTGGCATCTACGGTTCTCCCGTTGCCCGGAATTGCGTGATCGGACAGTAGGGGTCGGGGTCTACAGGGGTCTACGCAACAAGCTCTGCTTAGCGTAGGCTCTGGCTCTGTCAATCCGTTCAACATTCGAACTAAATTTTAAAAAAGCATAAATTTTACCACAGGAGCTGTATTCTTACATTATTTGACATCCTGAAACCAAATATTATACTTACATGTGGTGCAAATAAAAGAAAAAAATCAAACCTGACCTAACCTTAGGTAGGTACCTACTGGCTACTTATCTGTCCTACAACCTACCAACCTACAACCTACAAACCTACAACTTACCAACCTACAATTTATACAAACCTACCGACCTGGGGGTTTGGGGTTTAGAACTTTTTGGGTTTGAAAACTTATGGTCAAGTACCTACTAATCTATGTTGTTGGGTAGTGCCTGATGGTGATTGAATGTAGGACTTAAGGAATGATGTTTATTAACGGGCATATCAATTTAGTGAAATCAATTGGTGGCTGATTTACCATGAAGCTTTGCTGACTTATCCTCTTCTTCCACAGCCCACAGGAGCTACCAAGTGCCAGGATGTTGTGCCTTATCAGCTGTGTGCTGAACTACATGGCCTGGGTAGTGGGATGGGTGACCCTGGTAGTTGTCACTTTAAAAGTTGTGCTTGGACCAGTCTATTTTGAATCACTTCGAGGCAGAGCATTTGCATATTTTATGGAGTACCTTGCCAAAGAAGAGCTAAGGAAAAGCCTTCAGCAGAGTAAGATAGACCTTTTTTCTTCAATGAAGCTGATCAAGTCAAGTGACCAAGAGCTCTCCAAGAAGAATGCTCTAAATATACTGGAGGTATGTTGTCCAGTGTGGTACCGAGAGGATTGCTGGGTGGGTGTTTCACATTTTAGTTTGTTTGCTAACTGCTGGTAGGAAGGATATTGAAGGCTACGACACAAGTACAGCCTTAACCCTATTAGTGGCAGGCTCCTGGCTACCCCATATTAGTGGCAGGGGGGGGGGGGGGCTGTTTACGACCCCCCCTTGATATCTCGAGATCTAACGGGCCGATTTTCAAAATTCAAACGGCATTCGATTTGGCTCAGCGAGATCTACATTTCTAAAAAATAAAATTAAAAAATGTCAATAGGGGGGTAGAGGGGGGTAAAAAAGGGCAAATTGCAGATACATTTTAGACTGTTTATCACGGCCAGGTTTCTGAACCAATCTTAACGCAACTTTTGCCGATCGATAGAGAATGAACCAAGAATTCACATGGATCCTAAAAATATGCATTTTCAAAAATCATAGGCGGATACAGATCATTGAGATTGGGGGTACACAAAAAGTATAGTAAATAAGGTTTTTGTTGGTACTGTATCTAAAAAGGGTGGCAATGGTCTTGTTATGTTACAATTTTCTTATGAGAGAACGACTAAAATTGTATTGGTCATGCATAGGCGGTGTCAGGGCACCTATGTTGGGAGGTAAAAAATAACCCCCCTTTTTGGACGCCTGGATCCGCCTATTATAGCAAAAACGTGTCAAAAGAGGATGCACAACAACTTTGTATATGTTATCACATGATACCTTTCATTCACTGTTCGTAAAACTGGTGCAGCATCGTGATCTTCGCCCAAATGACTCGCTTCACGAATAGGACCCCCCAATTCCCAGTGCTCTGGAGCCGCCCCTGGTAATGTTATGAACTTGAAATTTTCAGGGAATGTGCCCAATTTAGTTTTAGGAAAAGTCAGAAAATTTCAGCATCGTAGCTTCAGCGGTTTCGGAGATATTCCCGAAAAACCTGAGGGGTGGATAAAAACAACCCCCCCCCCCTGCCACTAATAGGGTTAAAACTGAGAACTGCGGACGTACCATACATTTTAGCCAACTCAATACTCCAACAAAAGTTCTTTTGTCTTCGAATCATTCCCTTGATAGCAATAGCATGCTACGTCTACGTATCGCATACCTGTCACAATTATCGTCGCCAACACCATGTTTGTGTCATCAGATCGGCGTCGGCACAGGCATGAACTTGGAGTTTTACCCGGCCGGCTCCCGGCTGCACTGCGTCGACCCCAACCAGGCGTTCGAGGTCTACTTTCGGCGCGAGTGTCTGCAGAAGGCCGCCCACCTGGACCCGGACATTCGGTTCGTGGCCGAGCGCGGCGAGTCGATGCCGTCGGTGGCCGACAGCTCGGTGGACGTGGTGGTCACCACGCTGGTCATGTGCAGCGTCACACACCTGGACCAGATGCTCCGCGAGATTCGGCGCGTCCTGGTGCCCGTGAGTTAACAGCCGGTCAGGTAGACCCACTCGGTTTGGGAGCATCATTCGCCATCTCCCTGCGATATTTTCGCCTAAAAATAATGCATCATGAATTGGATGCGGGTGATTTGGTCGGGTGGTGGGCCTTTGGTGTCACGCATTAACGGGCACCTGAGCCCAAAGGTGTTGACAAAGGGTCTGTTGGACTACCTACCTCCCTAGCCATCCGGCACCTGATCGAGTTAGAGCTTCGCGAGAAGGCGAGCATGCTGCCCGTGACGAGAGGAAGCTGATAAGGCTGGTCCCGAGTCATTATTTGACCTTCCAGGCCAGGTCAATGACCCAAAGGTCGGGAATATCAGGACGTGCTAAGAACTTCTTCAAGTTAGGCTTTTATTGGTGTCTCCTGGCTCTTGATTTCGAATATCGCATTTGTTTTATTCAAAGACGATGTATTCATGCATTTGGGGTAGGTAGGGTCAGACTCAGGTTAGTTAAGGTCGACCACCAAGGGTCGTGATGGCTAACCATATCAGGTGTTTACCACCACTACAGCTTTGCAACCTGTTACATGAGCACTAAAACTAGTTATCAAATGTTCAAATGGGTGCTAAATTCGAAATCATCTACAAGAACTGCCCAATTATATCAGAGTAAAACTTAAAATGAAAATAAACGAGGTTACCAAAGTTCCATAACCTTGACTTGACCTCCAGGCTCCACTTGACATTCACACTTACCGTAAAGTATGGGAAAACATCATTTTACCTGTTCGCTTCGCACTTTTCTAATCACACAAAAATCCCGGAAACGCACAGATAATGACATGCGTCGAATTGCCATTCTGGCCTGACATAGTCTGAAATCTGAAGAAAGAGGACACAGGTCAAAGGGCATTGTGGTCATAGCCGTGATTTTTTCAGGGAGGGTGTAAAATTGACTTACTTAAGGAGGCTATTGGAAGTTGCGTGGCGATCGGCAGCTTTTTACGGGAGTTTTACGGGAGTTTATCGCGAAAAACCGAGTGGGATCCGTTCGAATCAAAAGCAGCTTCGAACGTTTCGACCCCCTATAAGTGGGGAAAGGGGAAGGTGCTAAAAATAAAGGAAATTATTTGGTGCCCCATAACAACTCCTTAATGTTTTCAAACATTTCTTCAGTTCAGATCATACACTGCTTCCACTCCATATCGCTGCAGTTCCGTCCATTTGGTCGGTGTTCTCAGGGCGGCAAATTCTATTTCCTGGAGCACGTGGGACACCCATCGGGCACGTGGCGCCGCCGACTACAGAACGTGCTCTCCAACTCCGGCTTCTGGCCGGCCGTGTTCGACGGATGTGTGCTCAACACAGAGGTGGAGGAGGTAAGTGATGCTGTAATGCTGCTCGAATCGTGGTGGTTATATTCAGATTCTACTGCACCAGTGTCGGCTATCAGTTGTTGGTTTAGCACGGGTAGACATCCGATAATGGTCTACTTGAACAATGAACAGTGAAGATAGGCGAACTGCCCCTAGAGTTTCGATTAGTTTCGATCTTGACTCGCTCTCTAGCTATTGAAAATTCATTTTAGAAAATGTAATTAGGCAGTTGGAGATGTTTGATATTGTTCAGTTACATTTATTTGAATCACCTTTTAAGTTTTTTTTTTTTTTGCAGAATGGACGTTTTTCCGGTACTTTATCTAGGATTTTTCACCCGAGGCCGAGACACGTGTTAGTCGTAATGTGTCATTAAAAAGAAATTAAAAATTCATTAAAAAGTAGAGAGCATGAGAAGAGAGAGGACCATCATCTCAACGACACCACGTCCCCGCCCCCGCTCAGTGCCGTCCGTGTTCATCCGCTAGCGTTGGCGTCTGTCCGCAGGTGATGCAGACCGGCGGCTTCAGCCAGGTGGACTGCCGCTCGGGACTCCTGCTGGACATGCAGATGCAGCCCACGTCTGCGCCGCTCTCCGGGGCGGCGCTCGTCAACCCGTTCGTATACGGTGAGCTCACCAAGTGAGCTGACGAGCTCACTAAGTGAGTTGGCGAGGTCGCAAAGTGAACTGACGAGCTCACCAAGTGAGATCGCGAGCTCACGAAGTGAGGTGGCGAGGTCGCAAAGTGAGCGGACTGGTGCCGACCAGTGCCACAAATCAGGTGCGGAGTATCCGAGCTATCGACTGCCTATGGTCGCCAAGCCGCCTCCTGATCAATTAATTTGTGCTGTGTGAAGGAGGCTGTTTCTATTGTTATGCGGGGTGTTCGGGGGCTGTTTTTACCAGGCGTTCATGACAGAAAGTGATTGGATCCATGATCCACACGGTTTCACCAAAATCAGCTACCTAATTTACAAGAATTGTTTGAAGGAATTAAAGAATCAAGGAATCATTTTAAAGCATAGGCAGCGGAACGGGGGGGGGGGGGGCTCCGGGGCACCGTGCCCCCTTTAAGTTTGGCATTTTAACATCAGTCCTATGGGCGTTGCATGGAAAGAATGGGACCAAGAGTCGGCAGTGCCCCACCCCCTTGATTGAAAGTGTTCCGCCGCCACTGTTTTTAAGAGACCCTCCCACTTTAAAAAAGTTAATGAATTGGCATAACAGTGATGTCCCGTAGTTGAGAAAGATCAAGCATGAATATCTACCAAATTTCACCGAAAAATATTCACTGGTTTTCAAGATATTGGACGTTTACTTTTTACTTTTTGAAACCTCCGCTGCTCCTACGACGTCATTTAAAAGCAATAATTTTGCATCCTTGAAGTGTGGCAGACGTTGCGCGCAAGGCAGTGTATGCCACCACGTTTTACCGAGGGTCTTAGTATAAGATGTAAAAATCGTTCGATCTGCGCTGACGTCACAAATTCTAAGGGGGCATTCAAATACTTTAGCCTCTTAGAATCTGAAAACTGCAAGTTTGAAATTTAATATCTCCGAATTAAAGCGATTCTCGATGTTGTGAGTGCCCAAACGGTAAGTGCAAGCCAGGGACCTCAATTTGGCTATCTCAACTCAAAACCAGTAGGCGGAACTATGGTCAAGCGTACCCATTTTCGGGAACGCATTTTCGTTCCCATGTTTGGGAACGATAAACCCAAATATGGGAACGCCATGTAGGCATTATTTAAAACAAGAAAAAGAACCGTTAAATGACGTCCAAAAAATATAAAACGATCGTGAACCGCCTGATATTTGTCTCAATATTGTTGGGAAAGAGTTTGATATTGTAAGGCCCATCGTAGTTTCAAATCGTTAACCTATTTCTAAAGCAGTCCATCATCCGGGCCGCGAGCCCAAATTTGGGAACGCTCTCGTACACTGGCGCTGCAAGCGTTCCTTATTATGGGAACGGCGTACCCAAAATTGGGAACGATTTCACCGACGCCTTTCAGGGGCTCTTTTCATTAACAAGCATCACGTCCAACGCCGCAAATTATTGTTAACGCAACAATCATCAGATGACCTTTCCGGCAAGACCGTCGCATGTTTCGCCCGGTCTTCTGCGCTTTTATTCCCGTCGATCTCGCAGCGGGCACGCCCCCCTCTGCAGGATTACGTAATTCACAACGCTCAGCGATGTTCAACAAGGTCTTCCATGCCTATATCCACCGTCCGCGCCGAGGGTGGAGACATGTCAAGCACCTGTCTGTTAATCACCGATAGTTGACGAGCACAAGTAAGTATCCAAAAATGGGAACGCTGAAATGTTTCACTCTCAAAACACCTAGTCCCAATATAAATCTACTTTTTTCCTTTCTTAATGAGTGTAAGTGGCAAAAGGCCTGGTAGGATGGGCACGAGAAATGATCAAAATCAGCATGAAAATTATAAATAAGGCACATAGGGCGACCTGCATAAAAGAAATTCCCCCAAAACGATCGTACCTCCAAAATACCGAAGGCAAAAACCACGCTCATGACGCTCCTTAAAAGCAACGCTAAACAGCTAGCATCCAAATAAAATATGTCTTTCAGGGTTGATAAAATACAGCTGAATAATTTTAAACCACTTAAACTGAGTTTATAACAGTAGTTCGGTAAATTCACTCGCGTTCCACGCGGTCGTCCGCCCCGACACCAAAAGTCAACAATATTACCTCGGGACCGTACGCGTCTTCGCTTGCATTTGTCAGGATCTGGTGTCGATAGTATGAAAGTTCATAACCAGGCGAAAATTATTATAGTTGACCTCAAACTAAAAAATGCTTCATTTTCCTTAAAATTGCATGCTAAATGTCGTATAACCCATATTTCCACCATTCTGTCATTTTTAAAAAATCATTAAAAATATCATTCCACGGTCAATTTCCTTGTTCCACGGTCAGATTAAAGATAACTTTGTCGAATAAGATGGCGAAGTACTAAAATGAGCAGCATTATTGAATGTCGTAGAAGAATAACCTTATGCTCACTATCTTTTAACAATCCGAAAATTAGCCTAAAATCAATGAATATATTTCGGAAACGTTCCTTCTTCAGTTCAAAAAGTTAACTATACAAGCCACAGAAATGTACAAATAATTGAACGTCACAAAAGCGCCGAATTAACTGATCCCACCAACGAATATTAGTCACATTCTCGTGCCATATAAGTAGAACGGCCTCTTTTAATCAACGCAAGACTAAAATAACAGGTATACATAAGGTAGCGTAACCAAATACAACTGTATGAGATCACTTGTGACCCAACAATTACTATGCTAGTCATCTTAGAAACACACCATATAATTACAACTAACATGCAAGGTGTACACAGCCGACTACTCAATAGATCGATTGTCTAGCCAACAAACTAGCCATTCATCCAATTGCTCAATCCACTAGTTACACCCATTACATTCAGGCGTGGAGTCGACAAACCATTCAAATATCCATTCCAAATCATTCAATCAAACGTTTTATCATACATCTATCCCAACATCTATCACGTCTCAGGCTGACAGTTCACACTAATCACAGAATTGCCCAAGATGCGATGTTGGTGTTTAGGGCTGGTCGGTATGTCCTTATCCATAGCGACTCTGCTATTTTTCTGTCTCTGCTGGTGTTGCATGTCTGTAGGATCTTGGCCGCGATGTGTTGGGGCTCTGGGCGACATCGAGGGTGGTCATCTCTGAAGTGGTCGCCCCACGGTGAGTCCAGACGGTGGTTCTTCGCGTCCCGTAGATGTTCATTGTAGCGAAGTCGTATGTGACGTCCGGTTTCGCCGATGTAGCTCCGGTTGCACAGCGTGCAGGTAAGTTGGTATACCACTCCGGAACTGTGGCACCGGCCCTGTAGTCCTGCAGCACACGAGTGGCAGCGTGAGCCACCAGGACACGGAGGTGGTTTCAGGGCCGAGCGCACCAGCTGGTTCTTGATGGTCTGTTTGTTGGTCCAGGTCACTCCTAGGTTCTGTTGGCCACTCTTGTGTACGATGGCCTGTACGGTTTGGGCTAGCTTGTCATCGATGAAAGGTAACACGAGCCTTGTTACCGGCGTTGCTCGTCTTCTTGGTCTTGGTCTTGAGGTCTGGCAGCAACTGATGGCTCTGCTGATGGTGCGCATGTTGTAGCCGTTGTTCAGGAACAGGTCTTTGATTTTCTCTATACTGCGTTCACGAGCGCTGTTGTCACTGGAGATGTTGATGGCACGTCGGATTTGGGAGTGCAGCACAGCTCGCTTGGTTTTCCACGGGTGTGCCGAGTCAGCGTGTAGTATGATACCAGCCGATGTGGGCTTGATGTACAGCTCAGTGGTGTACCTTCCCGTGGGTTCGACTGTGATGCTGGTGTCCAAGAAGGGAATGGATGGCGTCTTGTCTGTCGATTCGATGGTGAACTTGATCGATGGATGTGCGTCGTTGATGTGACGGAAATACTTTTTTTTTTTTTTTTAGTGGCCCTAACTTACGTTACTGGCCTCGCGAGGAGGGCGGCGACCTAACCATGGATGAAGTATTTACTGGATTGGCAACTCTCCCTCGATTCGCGACCAAATATCGCAGTGCGCATGCGCCAACTCCAGATAGGACGCCGGTGTTTGGCGGCTATGCGTTCCAATGATGGGACGGGTTGGTTGGGTGGTTTTTGAGCAGTTTATCTTCGAAGTTCAACTCATAAAGGATAACGGGACTGTTTTTCATGATCTTTATGTGTTGAGAAGCATTTAGCTTCAACATCTTAACCCTCTCCGGCCGACGGGGAGGGGGGCGGGTCACTCAGGCGTCGCCCCACCCTGACGGTTTTTTCGCGATTGGTCGGATTGCGCTGGTGATAAAGAGCTGAAACTTGGAACACCAGGCCTTTGATTCAAGCCGGACCTTGTGACATCAACCACATTTTCAGGTCAGGTCAGGTCACTGACCTATGACGTCATACGTAAACCTCTGCCGTTCTGCACGGTCCTAAAATACTTCAATGCTGCAACTTCGCAACGCCCTCAGTGCCAGACGATTTTCACTTGAAGATGAAACTTAGCAGGGCTGCAGAGTCGATGGATTTTCGATGACTCCGACTCCGACTTCTACTCCCACTCCGGGCAGATCTGTCGACTCCGACCGACTTCAACTTCGACTCCGACTCTGCAGCCTTGCCAGGTCTGCGGAGTCTCTGGATTTTCGGCGGCTAGACTCCGGTTCGCAAAATCGACTCCGACTCCGGCTCCGGTCAGGACTGTCGACTTCGACCGACTCCGACTCCGCAGCCCTGCTCCCTAGACCTCTTCACTTGTATATATTTGATTTTTCTTAAAGGGCACCTGAGGTCAGGTCGCTTACAGGACCTCACCATTATAAGCCTCTAAGTCAATGCGGGGAACTATGGAAACTGTTATTTTGGCGCCGAAAATGATCTAAGACTAGGTATCTCGCATGCGAATCGCATGAAATCGTAACTGTACGCTCCGTGCGAGGTACGATGTTTAACTTTTGCACTATCTATTTAACCTTGCGTGACGTCAACAAGGTAATCAAAGTTCTTCGTCAATTACTCCCTATCAAATCGAGTTAGCTTAGCGAGTCGCGAAAGTCATCAATGGATTGGACTCAGGAAGACCTATTGAATCGAATAAAAGGTATGCAACACAGCCTCCTTCAACCAACTTCCTGACCCAAGTGATTGTGATCTGACCTTGACCTGATGTCAACACCCGATTTGACCTTACATTGGGACATTGGTCTTGGCAGGCACTCTAGTGAGTCGCCGGGGCTGAGCCCGTCCGAATGGACGGGTCGACCAGCCCCCCCCCCCCCCCC